CACTACAAGTCTGTTTTCAAATGTATCTGCCAAAGGGGGAACGTTTCTCTGTGTTCCTGTTAAAGTTTATGACGCATACACAGCTATTTTGAAAGCCAATCGTGGTCCAATACGCAACATCTCAATACTATCTCGATACACATACACTAATAGACTTTTTAAGAGATATCCTGTGTCTAGTAGTTCAACTTTTGAAATGAAAAACATTTGCATATTCATAGATTCTGAATTATTCAGTGAGGGAGGAGGGAGAGGAAAAACAGATCAGACACAAATTATTATTCCAAGCCGAATATTTTTATGTCTTAAAACATGTCTCTAGGGGTCCTTAAGAAACTATGCCAACAATGATAGCAGCTTATTAAAGGATCAGTTTATCCAAATTACATATTACCTCTAGTGATATCTAGCCACGCAAATAGTTTTGGCCTTATTTGTCCAGGTGAGATATCCGTCTCTGACATTTCTGCTCTCTCTCCAGAACAGCAGGAGTGAATTTTTGGTGCTTATTGCATTGAAATGTTACATTTAAAAAGAAATATGCACGCAAGATGTCCTTCCAGAAACAATTACATTAGATAATCCACATACCTCACTGTGAAACCACAAAGACAGATATTTCACAACCTGAACAAATGCAAGCTAAACTTTAAAAGCAATTTTAGCAGCATAACACACCATCTACACCACCTTATGGCCCACATTAAGTGCCTCACCTCTCTGAGTCCCTGTCAGAGTGAGCAGGTTGGGTGTGCAGCCACTGCTGAGCTCGTTCCTGCTTAACTTGCTCCCTCTCTGCAGGGTGAAGAACCAGCTCCGCTTCGCGAACTGCACTCAACAGAAAACATCAAATAAACATCACAGGAGATTTCTCCTTTCAATTAAGCAACGTTCTTGATGACAATGGTAGCAAAGAATGAGTGTGTTGCCTAATCAGCAAAAGCTGGGGTGAAGGTGGCATATTTCTAAATGACAAGTGGTGTAATCAATACTACAGTAAAGGACTTGGGTTAACACATGCTCACCAAAGTACAAGCTTAACAAATAAACAGCTCATGCGTCTGACCTGTAGCAACATTTGACAAGTTTTACTGTAATTACAGCTGGCCGGGTTTCCCAGTGCTGGGAGAGATCATTGGTCAAAGCTCCCAGTGTTTATGTTTGTGCTTAAGGTGGTGTATTTGTTTGGAGGAGTCAGGGGCATTACTATAATACATTTAAAGTTGCTGAAAGATGCAACAGGAGAGGATCTGCTTTTCTCCAACAATTGTTGAGGCTTGTGGTTCTTTGTAAAATTGAATCCAACAGTTTGTTAAAGAAAAAAATCTGAAAGGCTGCTGATTTACGAGTTATGCTGAAATCCCATAATAAGGTCGTAATTCAAAGTAAACATTTATGTTGCGCTGACAGTAATGCTGCCGTAGATGGGTGTAAACTGATAATGAATTTTGACAGCCCAATGCTGGAACTAATGATGCATTTATTTAAGCCATTTACTTGCTTTTGCTGAGCTGTAAAAAGGAGGAAAAAAAAGAGCTTTACAGTTTTCATGGGCTAATTGAGAAGCCCCACTAAAAATGTCAAGTGATAGATGCTTCCCCTCGGGGCAGCAAAGGCCAGGAAACGGCTACTCGCACTTCCCAAAGCTGAAAATACAGAGACACAAGGCACAGGCACTCCAGAAAAACCTTCAGAGAGATATGTTTTTTAAACAGCAACTTGCTTATGTAGTGTACGTATTGTAGCATTGTGTTCTATACTAACTGTTTTTGTATATGTCATTCATATTAGAGGATTCTATATGGATAGATCAAAAGTCGCTAAGAAGACTGTAAAACTTGTAATCCCTGGAGGGGAATGCAGTGTAGCAAACAGCACCATGAAAAAAGTTCCCATTTACATTGCGCTCCAGTAGCATGGAGAGACTCCTCTCTCCCTTTTCCCCCCTGAACCCCCCACTAAAGCCCCCTCCTGACGCCCTCCAACATCCTGAATCCCCCTCCAGTGCTCCTCCAGGACATCAGGAGGGGGCCTGTAGGAGTCACGCCTGTTAAGAGGGGCTCTTAAGCACATTAAGCAATCTCGTCTCGACTGAGGAGAGGAGAACTCTGACTTAATATCAGAGAGTTAGGGAGGAGGAGGGTGGGAGCTTTGGCAAACCAGAGCTGAAGGAGAGACATGCTGCTGGCACTTTGGAGCTTTCTCCCCTCAGAAACAAACAACACAGTGTCAGGTAATGGATTAGGACCAGTGCGGGCCCCAATAAAGAAATTAAATGGTGTCCAATGAGTTGATGACCTTGTGTTGTCTTGAGTTCCAGTCATCTTAAAAACAAAAGTAATTGCTAAGAAAACAATTGCAAGAAACACAAGCATTCAAACAATCAGACAGTAAACCACTTGTAATGTTAGTAATAATTCCACTTTGCACTTGAAGCACAAAGACAGCCTGTAAGAGATGTTTACAACAGACAGAATTTAAGGTATCAGTGTGTTTGAAACAAACAAGTGTAACATGTCATCTAAACATCACATCTAAAAGGCAGAAGTGCTTGACAAACTCAAAGGGGAGGCGAAAATGCCCTCATGGAAAGAGGTGTGACATGTCTCCTTAATAACATTAATAGTGTTGTTAGTTGTACAAACAAAAATTGACGGAAGCAGTTGTGTGAAGAACGAAAGGGAGCTTGAGAGAGAAATGCAGACCCTGACTACTTTCACACCTCGCCAATCACTTCGTAATGGATTTTGCTGTCGCAAAGGTTTTTCGTAAACTGTTAGATGACTGTTCTACAGCTATTCTACAAACTGTCCAATTAGATCTTCATTTGATGCATGACGAAGCCTTTACCGTTACCTTTTCGCTTTCTCTTCTAAATAAGATTGAAATCATCCTTAGACCTGGGCATTTCAACAACCTTTGGTTAACTATGTAAAAACGCTACTAACGCAGCGTTGTAAATATGCAAAAGCTGTGTCATGTTAATGGTTGGCATTCAGATACTTGACAAACTCGAATCTTGGCTTGCTATTTGCTCATGAAGATTTGTAATAGAGCTGCCCTAAAGAACATGAAACTTTAGACTTAAGGTTAACCATTACTTTGTTTTGTATAGTATCGTGAAAACCATTTTGAGAATCCTATTTTCATGGCATTTGGAGAGTGGAAGAAGAATCAGAGCATGTCTGAAATTTGAGGATCCTAACTCAGTGTTTTTAGTGTGCCAGTGTATCTCAAACATATACTATGAGGAGCGAGCTCCACTGCCTGACATAAATAGAAACTCTGAGATTACGGAGGAAGAAATTGAATGCATATGAATGGTGGTAAATAGTCTGACATTAAGTTATTTTGGATGATGGATGATAAACACGATGATTGCGTTTCAGTTGGACTTTGTAGATGACTTGAAGTGTGAAATCAAGTTAAGTGCTCAGGAGGTAGGGGTTCCAGGCTGAAATAAAAATATATACCCTTGTGTCCCTCTGACATGAGGACGGATGTTTGGTGGGGTTGGATCTCAGTTTGGATGGAGGTTGGAAGAGTGTGTGGAGGAGAAGGGAGGGGGAGTGGAGGGCGTTGGTGGAAAGTAAGAGGAGAAACAAGGAGAAACGCTTGGAGGCATACAACATCTTCAACATCTGCAGCACACAGACACTTGACAATACAAACCATCATAAAAAAAAAATGTGAAAAGTATTTCTATGTTTTTTGCCTTTAAAAGAAAATGTCTTGTGGCTCTGCTCCATTCTCTCCCTCTCTATCTCCCTCTCTGGGTATGTAAGCCGATACCCATTTCAAGTGGGTTACTCATGTCCAGCACATCCACACAAAGAGCCCGGATAAAATAAACACGCCGCGTCGGATATCTTGGAAAGAATCTGTCATGGGTTTGGGGCTAATCACCTCCAGAAGGGGCTTGACTCAAAGCCTGAAACGTTAGCCCCTGTCGGGGAGCGCTGGCTAGGCCGGCTAGGCCCTGGGCACTGGGGATGGATCCGGAGGAGGAGGTGCCTTTCACAGGTCAGGACCAGGGGAGCAAGAGGGGAGGCTGGCTTTGGCCCATTTACAGAGACCCGGGATCACAGTACCATGAGCCAGTTCTCGACACACCACCTGACGCCGCCGTCGCCACTGCCACACGGTCACGCTATAAAAAGGCAGCAGGCGTCGTCTCCTCCAGAACCGAGCTGGTTAGGGTTACATAGTTTACAGGCTCGGGACGCGGGGTATTAAGCAGGGAGGGAAGGGTGATGTCCTAACCAGTGACCCCTGTTACTTTATCAGCTGATGTAGCTGCTTCACTTCATTGCTCGATTACACCAGTATTGTTTGATGAATTATCAAGACAAGGGTGGAGAGGAGAGATAAGGATACTGGAAAGAAACAAAACTGGAAATATTGTTGTAATGCAATAGGTCATTTGGATGGGACCGGTCCTCGACTGCCAGTTGGCAGCATCCACGGCTATACTGGGTTCAGACACGATTCCAGCATCAGTAATCAGAGCATTGGAAAGTTGACATAATACACCTGTTTAATTCAAAATAAACAGCTGATAACATAATGATGTTGTCATACTCAAACTCAGTTTTTCATGTCACAAATAAATTAGCAGCCAAAGATTTCTTATTGTGAAAAAATCAACAAAAGATACATTTGTCCATCATTGTGTAAGTTAAGAAATTTACTGGCTGCTGAAATAAAAATCTTCACAATCTTTAAAAACATTAAAATAATTTGTTGCTTCATCTTTAGCTGCACAGCAATGCATCAGTTTTAAGGGAAACAAAGGGGACTCCTTAACAACTATTCTACAAACTAATTACTAAAGCGATCCACCCAAAAGAGATAAAGTGGAACGAAAAACATCCCGAAGTTAAAGGTATGATTTTTTTTTTGTTTTTTTTCTTTTTTTCTTTTTTCAAACTGTAACATGAAATGACAAGCAAACATATCATATTTCTCCACAGCTAATTAAGGGGTATTTCATGCTTATGGCAGCATTGGACTTGGACCAGAGAGAGACAAGTCACTCCACTGCCTGTTGGCAAACACTGTTGTTACAGCGTCCCTCTGACTGCTGGATGACCGCAAGCATTGTGCTCTCTGGATGTGAGGCCTTGACCCTGGACGGGCCTTCATGATAAAAGCACACTTCCCCCGTCCTCCCCTTCTGCCCTCTCTCCAGTTCGTCTCTCCCTTTTAAGTCTGGCTGTGGACGTCGCAACACCAAATCATCTCACTACCTCAGGGCAGGGCAGGAGGCCACAGCGGGAAAGATGGAAGGAGACATTTGCCTCTTCTCAGATTATGAAACTACTTTACACCATAGTCTACTATTCTGAAGATTATTTTACCATTAAGGAAGAAATAATGTCATGTGATAAGTTAAAACCTGTTTGGCTCTTTAAAATCAATTAAAAAGAGAACTTGAGGATCGTACAGATACAGAGCCAGGTGCTTCTAAATTTAAAAAGACATTGTGGTTTCATAAAACCTGAAACTTATCCAGAAACATTACAGACTTTCAGACTTCACTGTAGTAATGTCACGACTCCATCTCTAAGTCCATGTTATTCTAACTGAATCAATTGCCCGAACTATGAAAATAATAAAAATAAAGTTGTAATAAATCAGCATTTTCTGAAGTCTGAAATGACTTCACTCTCCACTCTCAAACGTGTAGCATGTCTCAAGTCTTACCTTTTATATAATTTCTGTTGTGTTGTGCTTGCCTCTTACATGCCTCCACTGGACCCAGCTGGTAACTGCAGTTCGTGAAGTCAGGGCGGACAGCGGGATCTAGGAGAGTAAGAGAGAAAGGGTCAAAGAAGGACAAGGCAGGCCTAAAACCAGAAGCAGAAAACCAGAACCTAACATTCGGAAAATATTAGAACAGCGTTCTGGTTCCACTGAGGCAGATGACATTAGCAGTTAGTGCAGACATAGACCTGTGTGTCGATGGAGCAAGATGACAAGAGCCCTGCTATTGGAATCATGCATTTGCAATTCTGATCAAAGAGCAACCTCCCTGTGCAAGACCGTGGCATGATAACCGTGGCAGGACTACTGTTTCTTGGAGCAGAGCAGAGGTGAGGTCACCTTTCACTGCAGCCGCACTCAACCACTACAATGAATCTTAATGAAAATCATCACAGGGTGACTTGTCAAGAGGTTTCTTGGCAATCGTTATTTCCTTTGCAGACTCTCAAATAAGGCCCAATAAGAGGCGACAGGCCCTGGCTTCTGCTGTCTGTTATGGCTCGTTAACATACACGAGGTGGAAAGGTTCGCTGCTGTTTGAAGCACAGTTGAAGAAACAAAGACAAGAATGAAAAGAATCAAACATTTGTGCTTTTTTTTTCCTTTTTAGAAAATGGATTTATGTCCCGTTCTTTCTGTGCTGTGAAGGATATTCAAGAAAGAAAACATGAGAGCTTCTTACCATATCTAGCTTCAGAATCTTCATATTTACGCATTTTGCTAACAATTATGGTATCATAATTACCTTGTTTAACATTAAATGTTACACATATCAGCAAAACAGGCACATAAAATTAATACAAAGCTCAAATGTTTATTTTTAACGATACAATTCCACACTTACTCCGATGTTCCCTCTGCTGTTGCTTCTTTGACTTCATCTTCTGGGCTCTCTTGAGCATTAGAAGAGCTGTGTGGCTTTGAGTGAAGCCCCTAGAGACAACAAGGAGAAAAGTGTCTCACACAAAACCCCACAACATAACAAAACACACACTCCAACAGGGATGGAAACAATCAGAACCTCATCATGAAGTATGATAACACAAGCATTTACCATTCTTCCAGAATCATTTCTGATCGTTTGGTGAGACCACTGACCACTGAGACTGAGGCAGGAGATCTGCTTCTGAAATCACAAATAGATTGTCCCCAAAAAATGAGATGCACAAAAGTATACATTCACATTTTATTATTTTACCTCACATATTAATACACCATCATATGTAGGGCATATTACACTGTCACAACAGCAGTAGTATTAGCAGGATTTTGACGATACAAGGGTCGGATTTGAAGAGATCAGGACAAAAACCTTCTTTTTGTATCCTATTGTTTCCAGAGCAGCAACAGCCTTCAACTGTTGACTGCTGATCAGATCTGCTTTTCACACTTCGGTTCTGAGTGCCTAAAGACTACATCACCTAAGACTTAAATGTGGACAGAGCTGATTCACCCATGACACAAATATGTTGAATTGGGACATAATTAAAACATGGGTCCTCTTGATTCTTATTTTAAAACCTTGCCAGTCAGTTTATATCCAATTTCAGGATTATTGTATCATGATTGATTCTACAATGTGCTTTGATTTTACAAACTGTACCTTCAACACATATATTAAGTGGTTTATGTTTACAGCTTTAGTCACTAATGGTGTAACTCTGGGTTGTCGTACCTGCTGGAGCTCACTGGGGAAACTCTCTGCCCAGCAAAGTCCATCTGATCTCCGGCCACCCAGGCATGCTTTGACCTCCATACAAGCGGTGGTGGGAGTATGTACTGGGCAGGTTCAGGATAGGCCCCAGGAGGCTGAAATACATACATTAAACAGTGTGATTTGCAGCTCTTATCACTTTATTTGAGTACATCTTTTTATAGCTTGCTTTTTAGACAAAAGTATATACAGCAGAGCAGCCATTTATCTTAGGATGCTTTATATCTGCCTGAGAAAAAAACTGAATCCTCATTTAAAGTGTGTTCAGAAGGTGGTAATGCTGGAGCTCTAAATGGAAAAATAGAGTTTAATCTCTGTCTAGACAACATACAGTCATCATTATACCTTGGGAAAATGAAATATAATGTATACAGAAATGTCCAGTCACATTTAACTCAACTGCATGTTTTCTTTTGAGGTATTTGGCTGACACTTTTAACCAGAGCGAGTTTTTACACTCAAGGAATGCTCTGTAAGTCAAACTAACAGCTTAATTACTCTCAAGATCCCATTTTCTCTTTGTGGAAGCGCTAAATTGTTCATCCCCGCCTTTGATGTGTACCTCAGTGTCAACACATTGAGGCCGGCCACGACAGCAGCTGCACCACATCAGCTGGCCTAAACCGGCTACCATGATGTACAGCGCTGAGCACGCTCCAAAGAAAAGATCCAACGAGAGGTAAATGAAGGAAAAAAAACAGGACGACAGACCGCCAGCGTGAAAAATGACATCTGCTGGTGCAGAGCCCCCTTCAGCCCTCCAGGAAATAATCTTGTTTTTCAAGAGAATAAATTCAAAGATCAATCAGGGAGAGTGAGACTAATCCTGGAGGGGGCGATAACCAAGATGAGAAAGGGACAGGGCAAGAAAATAACTCTTCCACTGACACCACACAGGGGCTGGTAATTCAAATTCAAACTCTCTGCCCACTTTACTATCATACCAGCCCACCAGGTTTGAAGAATATAACAGAATGTCCTGTGACAGTTGCCTTACCTTGAGAGACGGTGGCTGCTCTGACACAGGGTAACGTCTGGGAGGTGAGGCCTCAGAAAGCGGTAGTGCCCAATGTTTCTCCAGAGCTGCCTTTGTGAAAATAAAAAGACTTTTTGATATATACTTCTGGACAGCAATGGGTGGGGAACAACAAAAAAAAGTGTATTCAAAACCAAATAAATCATACCATATACGTATGACCTATAACATTATAGTATTAGTTTAGAGTATATTTGTGGAAAATATATGTCTGCATTTTTGAATCCTCGTTTCTATGTCTGATAGGGCAAGGGGGTGGGGAATTACTGAACCATGAAAGCGATGAACACACAAACCTGTGTGCTTACCTCATCATAGACAAATTCATCCAGGTCCACCTCTTCAAAGGTGTCGTCCTCTCCAGTGTCCCCGACACTGACAGCAGCCAGAGCAGATGCTAGCCTCCTCCTCAGAGTGAACCCCCTCCAAAACGCCTAGGGGTACCCAAAGAAGAAATGGTACAGTAGAAAACCCTCCATGAATCACAAGGCAAACGTAAATATTGTGTGTTATCCCATTAGGGAGATAAAACATGTTAACCTCTCTTTTAATTGCGGAGTGTTCTGCTGTCTGAACTCTGCGTGACTCCGGGCTGTTCCGAGACAAATGGAGCTCCAGTGTGCCTCTAAATCCTCCAATTCCCAATGGGCTTTGGGGGGGGGGCACATTTCACTTCACATTGAGCCGAGCAGGAATCCTAGAACTCTTACTACTGCACTTCTTTGGAATCTGATTAATCACTTTGTACTACCCCTCCCCACCCCCCAGCCCACACCAACACGCACACACACTATTCTACTACAATGTCACTCCCCCTCCTACCTTAGAGAGTCCTGAAGGACTCGTCAAACACTTTGGGAGAAGTGTTGAGTAGCATGTTTTTCAGAACAGCAGCTTACACCTATATGCAGAGAGTGAGCTTAATAAACCTCCACAGAATGTATGGGGTCTAAAGATGGGTGTTCATGAGTGAAACGTGCCTCCAGCCTTCAGCCACGATATTGGAAAATATTAGTTGTATCAGTTAAACTAGGCTGCTAAATACTGAAGGTTTTAAAACCAGCAGGCACATTGACAGATTTTATGCAGACTGGTACTGAACTATTGATGAGTCGAATGACAGAAATGATAAATGATCGTTTAAGTCATTTATGAAGCAAAAATGACAAATATTTGTTTATTTCAGCTTCTTAAAAGTTTTGCTGCTCTTGTCTGTTTTACATCATTGTAAATTGAGTATCTTTGAGTTTTAGACTCTTTGGCAAACAAGACATGTGAAGAGACCATCTTAAACTATTCACATAGTTTAAGATTGTGATGGCTATTTTTTACTTTTTTTCAATAAATTAAAAAACATAACTGACAAATTATTCCGACAACACTCATTGCTGCTCTAATTCAGATGTCTTTGCATCCAAGGACATAGTGATTAAATGGACGGATTGAATGCACTACTAACACATAATCATAAAAATCAAATAGGTTGATTGATTCAATTCATGTCAGATATATCAGTCATGTAGTCACACTCAACCAGACCATTGTCTCCAGTGCTGTACAAGTTCATGACAAAAGTCTGGCAGGACCTGTTACTGCAGTGCAGACGGAGGGAAAATGATCTAAATGTATATCTCTGAAACCAGTCGAACTAACGGTAGGTTTACTTTACACATAGTGTACAGATACAGAAAGTAGTAGGCTGTCTCTTGTACTTGCAGCAGCTGTACTACACATGAGGGAGTTGATAATTTCCTGCTCCACCACCAGTGTCCTTTTAAAATAGCTTCAGAAGGAAAGTGGTTTAGTGGAGGATGATGCAAACATGGGAAAATGACAGAAAACATCCATGTGAGCTGGAGGGGTATGTTTTCTATGTAACATGGGCAACACACAGTTTGAAAATGCCTGCCCCTTAAGTATAGCATGACTCCACTTATTGGACTTCCTGTAAACTAAGTCAAACAAAATGTTTACAATGTCCAAAACTCTAACAGTTTTACCTGGATAACAGTTGCTGCATAATCTTGGCCAACAACACTCCTGTCAATATACGAAGGTCCTGATTCTGGCTTTCTTCCAACTTCTCCTCGTCCTCCCCCCTTCTCAGCTGTGGAAGGGCTGCTGATGTTCCCACATTTCTGTCTATATTTCCTCCACAGCTGCTGAATCACGACTGCTGCTGTGCTGCTCCAGAAAGGACAAACACACAGACAAACACACACAAAGTGAGGGATGTGAGGGATATACATGATGTCATATCACCTTTGTCTTTCAAAACATGAATTTATTTCTGAGCAGACATCTGGAGAGCGGGACTCTGGAGAGTTTAAGCCTGTCCAGAGCCACCCTTCATATGAAAGATCGATTGTCCTCCCAAAGATAGTGCAGTGTTAATGATGAAGCTGCGTGTTAAAATGAATAAGATGTTCAACATTTTCTGCTGTAAATCATACAAAGGAGGCTCCAATGATGACAAATGCTCTGCAACAGAAACTCATAAAATGCTGAGCTGCTATAAAAAGAATTACATAAAAAAGAGGGTGTTTGCTTTCAGCCAGCAGTGTCCACTTGTGTACCATGAAAGAATTTGGAGCCTTTCATTACAAACACTACATCAGCTGATCTCACTGATTTGTTGTCAGCAGTGTAGTGTTGGATGGAATAGATGCACACAAGTGGATGCTATTGACTCAGAACATTTGGTGAATTACTTTTGTAGGTCCAGGTTTTGATGCTTGGACACAGGTGCCATTTCAGAATTGGCGGAAATTGTTTTTCCCTTTGTTGCCAAGGAGTGAACACTGCCAGAGTTCACTTTGCTAACTGTTGGCCCCGTCTTTGGACCTGCTGTAACATTGTCAAATGTGTCAGGCCGACTCTCTGCAGCTGACTTCTTATCGAAAGTCCAGGAGCTGCATCTGATATTGCCCCTTTTCGGAATGATGTGTGGAACTTTTCCAGTGGACTCCATTTCTGGCCGCTCAGCATGCTTCTCAACATTGGTGCTGTCAATGTCAAGTGTTTCCTCAGCTATTGTTCGGCCTGCAGCCCTGTGTTCGTCAGCCACAGTGGTGTCACCATATTCATGGGCAAATCTCTGGTCCGTAGCCAGCTGCAGAGCCTCAGTGAAGTATCGGCAGGAGGTCTTTACAGCATCCAGAGAAGATGAGGCATCGCTGTGAACATACACACACAAAAACACACTGTTTTAAGTATTGACTGACTCTTTTTAGAATGGCTGCATGTACAGTAAGTGAGTGAAGAGTCTACATAATAAAAAACATGCTCAGTGGACCTATGCATTGATTCATGTGGAGTGGATGCACCCTCCTATTTAGTCAGGGAAGCTGACAACTAAATGGCAGCACAGATTTTCTAAGTTTAGTGACAGTGTATTAAACTTATAAGTAAGGTAACTAGGTAGTATAGTATACAGTTTTCTGGTTTAAAGGATCAGTGTGTAGGATTTAGTGCCACCATTTGAATACCGCTCAGCCTTCCAAATATGTAGGAGAAACTACAGTGGCCACAAAAGGCTAGAGCCAGTGTTTGGATGGATGTGCATGGTAGTTTTAATTAGATTTTGGATCTGAAAAACAGCCTAGGTACAACCTGTATAAGTGTTCAGATTTCAATATATGTGGTGCTCTGAAATGTAATCATTCAAAAGAAACTGAAGCAGTTGCAATTCTAAAAAAAAAAAACCTTAAAGGTCTACAATTCATATGGGGTTCAGAGTAATTTAGTTTATAACATACAGTACTGTTATGAAATAGTATTATAGAAGCTTAATTCAGCATGCCTAATTTCTTGAGAAATTCAGTCCATCCTGTTGCGAATCAAGTAGTAAATAAATGGAACATCAGATTTAGCTGACATTTAGTTCCTATTCTTGACCAGTTTATCTGAGGTGTGTGTGTGTGTGTG